GTCTTCAATTATATTAATAGGAATTTTCAATGCATGTACTAATTTACGATGCTTAAAAATCAATCCATCTTCATCTTCTCTTGATGCTTTACTTATTTATATGACATCTAGGACTATTTGTTCAACTTTATTAGAATTACATGTCACTGTGACAGATATGAATGATTGTTTTTGTATACTTGATGGACGTTTTGATCAACTTCGTATACTTTATGTTACTTGTTATGGTACTTCGTTTAGATTTTTGCAAACTGAACATGAGGTAGGTTATTTTTATTAATATTTTTTTTTTGTTTAAATGAATTCATTTTGTTGTTTTCACTTTCAGCAAAAACTATTACCAAACTTACGGATTTTTTCTTTATGCTGCGAGGCGGAAATATATGGTTATGATGAATCAATTGTATCACTTCTACATCGAATGTTAAATTTAGAAGAACTTGATTTAAATATTACAGTTAATTGTTATGAAAAATTTATTGATGGTAATACATTGAAGAAAGATATTATTATTTATATGCCACAATTATATAAATTCACATTTAATATATATTCAATCATTAATCATCGTAATCATATTAATTTTCCATTAAATGAACATATTAAGAATACATTTAAAAATATTTCTAATAATCAAATAATTACTTCTATTGATCATTTTCAAGAACAAAGATATAGTCAATGTCATATTTATTCGTATCCATATAAATGGAAAATTTACAATAATCTAACAAATAATTTTCGAGGTGGATTATTTATCAGTGTTACTCAAGTATCATTATATGATGAACGTCCATTTGAATATGAATTTTTTCTTCGAATTCAAATATCATTTCCATTTATGAAAGAATTAACAATAAAAAATCAAAAAGCACAAAAATATAAACAATTTATAAAATCAAACAACAATAATCAAATATTGTCAATTATTGAATATTTCAATCTTACTCGACTTGATCTTACTAAAACTCATGATGATTATCTTGAACTATTTTTATTTGATATGAATATGTCCTTGCCAAATAATCTTCATCTTTTGGTCGATTATGAATCACTCGAAAGAGTAACATACTATTTTACAAGATATATAACACGAAATAATTGTATAAAACTTGCTGCTCTATATTGTGATCCAGTGAATCAAATCGATGAACATATCAAAAACTATTTTCCTTATACATGTATACGTCGTACTTATGAATATCATTTCATAAGAGACAAAAGTTCACACACATGTTCCTATCGATATATATCTGCAACTACTTAAGCAATTCTATCAAATAAATAGTCATTTTAAAGAACATTTACTGTGTTAAAAAGAAAGAGTATAATTGAAGAAGTAAGGGAGAATCAATGAAGAAATTTTTTACATGCGTTGTTGGTTCTCAAAAAACAGTTCTTTTTATTCTGAATAATCAGAACAAGAAACAAATTTCTTTATTTTTTTGACAACAAAATCTAATAGAGCAACTGTACAATGAAAATAATCAAATATTTATTCTACACATAATTTACATTGACAATTTTGTTTAAAATTATTAACTCGATCTTCTTTTCTGTTTACAATTTCTTTCATTCTTAAGGGTACTCCCCCTCAAAAACTTGATTTCGAGTTGGGCATAAGATATGGTAGTCTCAAGTGTTATGTGCAATTAGACACATCATTCAAACTTTAAACACCTTAGAGTTACTGAATTAAAAAATTTTTTTTTTCTTCACAGAGATCGTAAGAAATTTTTTTTCTTTTACTTGGCGTAATTCAAAACTAGAAATTTCTCAATCGGAGCTGCTTATGACCTCCCCTCTAACTTTATCCGATTGGGCTCAAAGTTTTACCAGAAATTCTTGGAAGTATTCTCCAGAAGTAAAATCAGCCTTTTTTTATTTTGAATCTTCCTGCTCGAATCTATAGGGTTGTGGACACCAAGACTCGGATTTTGGATCCACATCTGTCCATATTTCTCTTACTGGAAAAAAAAGAAAGCGAGATTTTTAAAAAAGCTCAAAACGACCTCTGAGATATAACCCTAGATATCTCCAAAAAAGTTTTCAGCCCAATCGGATGAAATTTAATGGGGGTTGTACTGTTGACCGATGTGGACCTATGGAAAACTAGAGTTTTCACAGAGAAATCGAAAAAACCTCTTTTAAAATTTTTTTTCTCGAATACATATAAGCTTATTTTAGATGCTCTAACTGTGGTAAAAATTTCAAGCGGATCGGTTATATCGTCTTCAAGAACCCGAAATGGTCAAAAAAAGAGGGAGAGGGATACCGTTCATGACATTTGATGTATATCCTGCCTAAAAATTTTTGACACTTTTGTCAACTTAGGATATGGATTATCAAAGAAGAATAACCCACATCCATCACCCCTTTTTAATCTAGATTTCGATTGAGCAGAAAGTCAACGAAGCAGACATGAGTATTTCTATTTTTTGGTTTTCAAGTATTTTGATGAAACATTGCTATAGGTTATCATGAGTGAGGAACGCCTATCTGACATAAGTTTTTTTTCTCATTTGATCTTCTGTCGATCGGAACATTCATCAATCAGAAACAAAGTTTTCTATTTGTTGACTTTAGGGTTTTTTAATGTCACGTTTCGTTGATTTATACGTGAGAAGTGATCCAATCTAACGTTAGATTGATCTAAATGTTTTTGTGTCAATAGTTTCTCTTAGAATGGGACTAGAGACACATTAGTTTTTCGTGTTGAAATGCGTGATGCACTTAGAGAAACGACGAGTTAGAAGAAACGTCGAAGACTGACGATGAGCTAGTTGGTTTAATCAAAATGAATGAGGGTATTTTTTCAGAAAGATCTATTCGATATTTTATGACTAAATTGAGGGTATTTAAACCAAACTATGCAGAATTCTTGCCATCTATGGGTTTACTAAGTCAACTAGCATCCGATAAATGTTTTCGGTGGAAGAAAGAAGTTGTTGAAAACATTTTTTACTTAAACAGTCCCCATTGTTGAAAAACAAGCTGTTACATGAGACAATATTCGTTTAGGTCATGTACTCAGAGAAAATGTTGATTCTTAAACGTTTTTTTTAATTATTGTTTTAGAGTGCGATTAAAATTAGTCTGACTCTTGAATGTGAACTTTTAATGCATTCAGGGAAGCTTCTTTTCCTTCTTATTATCGGAAGCGTTTTTGGTTGTTCTACGAGATAGCAAGGTTTACCGTGCACTTTGCTTGAAGATATATTAAAATGTCGTACTATCTGTTCCTTGAGTTAGAATATAAAAGCAATGGTTTAATTTGAAATTAGTAGTCGATACTTCTGCTTTGTGCAGTGCGACATATTCCGTGTGCTGGGAAAAAGACTGCTAGATAAAGAAAAGTGTATGTATGTTATTGTTTTTACTTTTCCTGTGCTAAAAAATGAGATCTCAAATAGCTTCTCATTTCGTATTTCTACAGGTTGAAAATTGAGTCGATCGCATATTTTGCCATGTAGCCTGTGATTGATAAGATTTTTAGATTCCAAATAAAGTCCATCAGATGTCTTTTTTGATGTAGATGTAAAATTTAGCTGAATTATGGGTACAACTGTAACCGTTAGGTTGCGTTGAATATAATGAATGTCAGTTAGAGATATGACATGAGTATGAATACATGTTAGTGTTCTCTGTCTTCCCACACACATTCACACATTCATGACTAAAGTTGCGATATAAAAATGGTCATCCTATTCACTTATCTTGATAAAGAAAAGGTTATATATTTATTCATAAGAATATCGGATGCATACACCAAAATTGAAAATATTTTTTTTTGTTAACAAATTCTTCAGAAATTTTCTAGGTTTTCTTTCAGAAAAGAGTCAATGAATCCGTAGGATGAACGCTATCTTGTTATTATATAAATAATAGAAAGGAAATTAAGGTATATATATATATGCGAAATATTTCTTTCAATTTCAATCAATATAATGAAAATGAAAATAAAACAAGACGAAGATATAAGTTTGTCTTTTTTTCGTCTTCTTTTTTTTTTGTTACATACAACTTTACTCTTAATATAATCAAACAAAATGTCATGCAACAATATCAATGTGGATTTAGATCAATAATTGATTTATTTTTTAGTCTAATATGTATTTTCTTTGTTTTAATGCTTTATTTTGTCGTCATGTACAACAGATGAAATAAGTGATGAAATAAAATATGTCATGTAATGTGTTTTTGTTGTTTCTTTTTGTTTTGTTCTTTTTTTAAAATAGTAAATATTCATTGATTTTTGGTTGTAATAATTCTATCGCCAGAACTTATTTATGTTATTGATCAAATTATTTATATATCAATTGAGATTCATGAGTGACTTACATTGAGAAACTACTTATTACTATTAATAAAAATAACAAATAAATTATTTATTTATTTAATTTTTTTTTCTTTAAATATCGATGTTATAAAGAAAAAAAATATTAGACTAAAATATGAATCAATTATTGATATACATGCATATTGATTATTGTTGCATTACATCCTATTTGATTATATTAAGTTTAAATAAAAAAAACATTCTATGCTCTTGATTTATTTCATTTTTTACGTATATTTTATTGACTTAGATGAACAAAGAAAAAAAAGCCAAAAAAGAGAAAAAAAACATGAGAAAAAAAATCATGAAATGATAATTGTTTCTTTATTGGCGACTCTTTTAAAATGTGTACATACAGAAAAAAAGACAAAGAAAAGTTGACGAGCAAACTTTGGTATTGGCATGATTGTCAAAGAAAAAAATATAATACAAAAGAAAAAAAAGAAAAAGAATAAGGTTATCCTTATTCCCCGGTAACACAAAGTTGCTGCCAACAAAAGAAAAGAAACTATTAATAAAATTTGTTTGACCTGATTATGTTGTGTTACGTCCATCTAAACATAAAACAATGTATTAATCATGAATATAATGTTACTCATATACCTTTAATTGATAATAGATCATTTTATTGATCATCATTATAAAGATTTGTTTATGTTTTTTACTGATTAAAATAAGGTAAACATTGTACGCCTTCACGAAATGTCTTGATTACCAATGCAATTTTCATCCATGATAAACGATTATCTTCATTATCATTATTTATATTTAAATAAATTGTTGGTAAAAATTTAAAACTTGTTTCAAACTTTGATAAATTGTTTTGGTGAACACCAGCTTGTTCTAAAATTTGTAAAAGTTTTTCAATGGATTTGGTAAATGTATCAGATGTTGAAAATTTTTTAATTATAATTTCCATTGCTACTTCATATTTTACATCGCCATATAATAATGATGACCATTGTTCCGATGATACGATTAATCCTTTAACAAATAAATATATTTATTATTAAATATAACTTGAACAAAAAAAAATTATTTACCTGTTTTTATAATCATACCAATAAACGTAGAATCAAAAACTCCACGAAGATTTTCATACTTTTCATATTCAGATTTAATGTATAATGTTGAGGAGAATTTATCATTTTGTTTCATCTAATAGAAAAAAAAAAACTTTTGATAGAATCATTTCTGTTCTTTTTCTTTTTTGTTATTGTTATATACATACTTCAAAACAACATGCCTTTGAAAGTACATGAACAATAAATTGAACATTTTCTGTAATACCATATGGGTTATTACCATTAATTTTATGTAAAACCGACTGTACCAGATCCTTCTCTGATGACACACTAAAATAAAATGTGTCGTATATAAGTGTCGTACAAGAATGTGTCGCAGACTCCATTACAAAAATGTGTCGTACAAAAATGTGTCGCATTATAGATGTGTCATAGCCTATATGTCAATCGTTCATTCACCGATTTGTTTCGCGAGTGCAGCTGCATATAACCTAGCCTATTGGACGTACTTGACTTATACATTTTCGTATGTCTTTTTTTTCTAGATTATTTCTCGACCATTTATTATTCGAGAACATGTCGAGAGGTCGCTAGATGATCGAGAATGGACTGCCTCGAAGTAGTCTCATCGAGATCAAATGGTCTCGAGGCAGCTAGATCTTAAGATCTACCGTCTCGAACTCCAAAAATAGGTGCTACTATTTGAAATTAACTGAAAAAATAGTAACTATTCGAATTTTCAAAAAAAAAATAATCCTCGTGCCGAAAAATGGATTCGAACCACGTGTTAAAAATGTGTCGCATGTGTCGCACGTCTGCTGGAAGAAATGTGTCGGAACGAGCTCCTCGTGTCGCATATTAATGTGTCATACATTGTGTCGCAAAGTGCGACACATGCGACACATTTTATCTTAGTGTGGATACTGGATGGTTTTCATTAAATAATAATATTAATTTTAAAATTGTTTCTATCATATCTAAATTAATAAACAATCATTACGATAAAAATAATTATTTGAAAAAAAAAGCTTAAACCTGACTCAACAATTTGTTCATGTCGTAGACCAATATTTGATTGAATATATTGGATTAATTGTTGATGATCTTGATAATGAACAATAAAATCAATACATATATGTTTAGCAAGACTATTTATTGCTTTAAGAATTTTGAAAAGATTTTTACAATCAATAAATTGAATATTTAATAAATTAAATATTTTTCGTATTGTTGAACGACTGAATATTAATTGACATTCTCTATCATTAACTAAGAAATAGTTACATAAAAAAAGAAAAAACCATGACATAAACTTTGTCTTTTTCTTCTTACTTATTCGTTTAAACATAAGTGATATTTCACCAAGAAATTTTTCTATAGTTTCAAAATCTGATTTTGTTTTTATATCAAGTTTCATATAAGATGGACATTGACCATGACGTTGTTCTTTATCTTTTGGTAACTATATTTAAATAAAAAAAAAACAAAAAGGGAAAATTTTTTTTCTTAATATTTAATAATTAATATAAAAATATTTACTTTTGATGAATCATAAAAAATCATTAATAATGGATAATTTATTGGTAATTGATCAATTGGTGTATGATTTATTTCAAATGAAATTTGATCTTGTGGACATTTTGTTTCATTACATATTATAATACAGTATTTACACATTGTATGACCACACATAGGTAATGTTATTGGATGATATAATGGATTTTCATATTCAAAATCATGTGAACATGTAGCACAACATAAAAATTCCATATAATATGATTGAATTGATTGTTTTGATAGAGACATTTTTATTCAATATCTAAACATAAATAAATAAAAAAAAAATAGTTATTTTCATTTTTATTTTATTTATAAATAAATGAATAAATCAGACTTACTAGTTTCAATAGACAATTTCTTGTATTATATGTGTTGTAATGATAATGTTAGACAAAATTTTTTGGTTTTAATCGCTGCCTATTTAACTAACTGAATGAAGAGACAGATAGCAGAGAGAGAGACGACGAGAATGGTGCTGGACGTATTAGTGTCTTGACTTTCTCTCTCTCTCTCTGTCTGTTATTTCTTCAGTTTCAATGTATATGTGATGATAACTTCTCGTATACATAACATACAAAAGAAAAGTAACAACATACATACACTCGTTGGAAAACAAACATTTGCATTGTTCTTCTTTTTTTTTTCTTTACTAATATAAAGAAAGAAATCAAGTTGGTTTATTTCATTGATTACACGTGACAAGTGAAATAAAGAAATATATATACATATATTTAAGATCAAAGCATTAATTTTAATAATAGAAAACTTTCAATAGTTATCTTTTTGTTTATATTCTCTCTTTCTCTCATATTGTTGTCTAAGAAAAAACCTAAAGATCACAAAAAAAAATCCAAAACTGAGGAATAGTTTTTTGTCTTTTTTTTGTAATGGATGCTTACCTATATTTGGCATCTTTAACAAAAATATTCTTTATTAATAAATTCATCTTTTGTAACTCATTGTGCAATTGAATCATCACCTATAGTCATCATTCGAACTGAACCAGTGAGAATATATATCTATATGTATACTAGTTTTTCTTGTAATTCTTCCTGTTTATTTATCAACTTCATCAACTATATCCAATTGAATAGTAGCATGATCTGTTGCTACTATTATTTTATTAGTTGTAGCACACTTTTCATCGAATAAAATAATTGAATTTGTTCTTCTATTGGTCATACATCTATATGTTACCTTTTTTAAAAATAATTTAGATCTAAAAACAATAAAAAAAAAGACATTTAACTTTTTTCTATTTAATTAAAAGAAAAGAAAACAACAACAATGTTTTCCTTTTTTTGTTAAAGTTTTTCTCTAATGAAAAGTGAATTTTTATTTCTAAAAATTGTATTTTCTATAATATATTAGTGAAGATAATTATATCATGCTTGAATAATATTTAATGGAATAATTTGTTGGAATGTTTGAGAAACATTTTGAAAAATGATCTTATATAAAAAACAAAATTATTAACTATTGTTGGTAGATATTTAATATTTGATGTAACTCTTCACATTGTTGTATCATATCGTTGAACTTGTTATTCAAATTATGCTAAAGTTTCAATAATTATACTTAATAAACCATCTCTTAGAATAATTGTTCGCTGTTGAAACCGCTTAATAATGTTGATATTAATGATGAACCACCTCTCGATTGATTATCTTATGTAGAAAATAAAACAATATTATTAAAAGAAAATCGTTTATTTTATTGATTTTAAAAATTACATTTGCTTTTGAACTTTTTATTTTTCCAAGATAAATTCATGATGGTTGTTCTATATTTGATCAACTAAAGTAAAATAAAAACTGACAAAACAAAAAGAAAGTATCAATAAGAAATAGATATTGTTTAAATATGATATTAATAATTACCATCACTACCAAAATTTTCTATAAATGGTATTTGATCAGTCATGAATACAACAGGATGATTTATATGATCAATAACAGATGTTGAAATTATAAATTAAGTTTGGCTTACTTGTAAAAAATTTACTTGAGACTAGAAGATTTTTCTCAATTAACATATAACTTATTAATCAATGAGTAATTCGTATTAAAAATATAACTTAAATGAAAATATTTTTTTTGTTTTAATTAAAACTTATCTGTAGTAAATATAAGTATCAATATATTGTTAATTACATATTGAAAAATAAATAATCACAAAAACGAAAAATAAAACAAATCAATGAAATAAAACTCTAATTGCTCGATGTCTTTGTAAATGTTTAAGTCATTTATATTATATAGTTAATGTCTTATTTATAGCAGTAATTTTTCTATAAAATCTAATTTTATTTTTAATTTATCTTGTTTTATTTGATTTATTTTCTCGTCATCATCATCACCATTATTTATATAAATATAAACTATCATATATTCATCATTAGCATGTCGCATTGCTAAACCTTTATTATGTAAATCTTTAATTAATTCATTTGTTGTTGATATATTTTCTAGAAGAGTTAATAGAGTTATTCAATAATGTGAATGATTATTGAAATGAGATTTACCATATAATAGACAGATTTTGATCTGTATTAATATTTCTTAATTTTTTAGATTTAATATAATGTATCTAAGAGTCATTGCACAATAGCCACGATCAACCGTACTCAATTGATCTCAAGGATTTCAATGAAATTTTACCTGTATATAGATCTAAGTGAGATATGAAAAAGTCTATGTCATGTGTTGAAAGAAAATAATACGCAATTTTGAAATATTGATATTATCAATTGCGTAATAGTAAGGTCAAGGTCAATAACTTATTTATTGACTGGAAGAACAGAAAAACAAGAACAAGAAACGAAACGAAACGATTCACAGTAATGAAAGAAAGACAAGTCCTTTTTTTTCGGAAAAGACGTATATGTATATATAATGATGATTCATTCTATGAAGCGAAAGAATAGAAAGAAAACAAATGAAGTATAACAACAATAATAACTATTTTCAATATATCACAGTCTAAAATTTCATCGTCGAAAAAACTCTTTTCTTCTTGAGATATTGAAATCACAATGGAGGGACCATCAACTAAAAAATGACGATAATCTATGCACTACCCACTCCGTATATACTTCGCTATTTTTCAATTATAATGTTTTTTTTTTGACATGAAACTTTGAGAATATATACTATCCTTAGTATCACACAGATTGATGCAATCAAAATCATTTTTACACTCATTAGGCGATATAGAAGTATTTCATAGGGTGTGGGGTGTGGGTGTGGGTGTGGGGTGTGGTGGGCGTGGGTGTGGGTGTGTGGGTGTGAGTGTGGTGTGGGTGTGGGTGTG